AAAGGTGCTGCTGGTATTATTTTCATGACCGTGATTTCATTAGGAGGATATGCAAACAAACCGTTCAACAATCGCCGCTGATGAGGATTTTCTCTGTATTTTCTCCGCAATTTCCCGTCTCTTGTTGATGAATGAAAATTGTTGCTCATAATGTGCCGTTAGAAGTTAGTATTTTCTTGCTGCATAACGGCAACATTTGTAAGTGGTGCAGTGCTCGACCAGTGGCTAAATAAGCCAACTACTGCCCAACCTCCTGTTCCTGTCTACTCTGCTTTTTTATAGCCGAATTTTCACAGAGGCGACGACGACGTCGACGACAACAACTCGCTGTTGATCTTATCGCTGCGTTTAGCATTTAATACCAAATTTGTTTTATGCAAATGAACCACAGCATCAACACTACAGTACTGCAACCAGCAACACTTGGTGACAAACTGCAACAGCCAAACGGCAACCGAAATCTTGTCTAAGAATTCCGCAGAGTATACAGAGAAAAACATAAGCTGTTTTGTTATAAATATATATTTAAATAAATTATAATATATAAACACTTAAACACCAGTTTTGTTCTCATTTTAAGTGGTTTGAACCCAGCAGCCATTGCTTTTACGATGTTGATTTGTTTTTGGTTACTATTTTTTATTTTATTTTATTAAAAAACTCTTATCTTGGCCATGATTTAATTATTTCTGATTTTAAATGTATTCTTTTCTTTTTTTTAGTATCATGCTTTCCACAAGTTTCTTATTTGAATAAAAGCGATTTCTGCGGCACAACGATACAATTTTCAATGTTTTCAAACATTTTTCTCTGTGCAGCATTAGATCTGAGATTCTTTGGTGGTTGCTGGTGGTGCATTTTTTAATTGATGTTTAACCTTGAGGGCGTAGAATCGAGGTGCAATTGGTCGGAGATTATGTTTCCCCCATTTGCTGCACCTCGGAGTTGCCAGATTCCCAGCTGGCGATAAGAAATCCGATTTGGATTCGGAGCTGTGGCACCACCGGTTGCCAAAAAAAGTGCGATTAATAAATCTTTTTATGAATTCAATTTATTTTTTACGATTTCTTAAATGTGGCGATTAGCGGGAGATTGCAAAAGGGGGGAAAAAGGGGGGTCCTTGCGTGTTTCATATATAATCAATTTTGGGTGCTGCTGCAATTGCAGCCGCAACTGTTTTGTTGCAACTGTGGCGCAGTCACACGCTCGGCTTATCTGATTAGGCTTCAATTTCTCAATTTACCAATTGATGTGGATCGGGGGGTCGGCTTGGGGGCGTTTCCCGGCCGCGTAATTTGTTGTTAACATTGAACTTTTCATGTTGCCACACAAACTCGAGAGTTGCCGTCGCGTTTTAGCTGAAAAAGATTGTCGGATTGGAAAGAAATACAAAATTGGTGATAATATTTGTGAAAAATTATATACATTAGTTGAGACTGGGAATTATAATTGTAGTTGTTTAAATAGCTATTTCTACTTTAGTTTTATTTATATATTCTTTTATAGTATTCCCAAAACAATTGATATCTTTCTGCTTCCCATTTCTATGGTTGTTTTTTTCTTTAATGATCTGAAGTTTGCCAGATCCAGATCGTGGTCCACTGAGAAGGAAACAGACAGGGTTGGGTGCTCCCTGGGCCCATGACTTTTCCGCGAATTTTCCTAGTGACAACGACAACACCTCTCGCGGTCGACCACTCTTTCCTTCCTCATGGCTCTGTGAGCTGTTCTTGCTGAGGTCGTGATTCAAATGCCAGCGCTGCTGTTTTCCACAGTCAAGGCCAAGCAACAAAGGGCCGGGCCAAGATCCAGTACCTCACAATGGGACCGCGGCAAAGAGCGGAGGCCATAAATTAATCAAGCCCGGCTTGGGCTGGGTTTTTTCGTTTTTTCGGCCATTCGCTTGTCGTCGTTTGCATTTCACAATTGTCAGGCAGACATCCCAAACGATTTCGATCCGAAGATCCGCCGATCCGCCGATCCGACGATCCTGACTCATTTCCCAGGCTCTACTGGCGCACTTTTGCTTTTGCTCTGACTGAGATTCGTCCACTGACAGGCTTCGCTTTACTTTGCTTGCTTTGCTTCGCCTCCTTTGCAGATGCTCTTCTCTTTGTTTGGCTGCAATTGACAGGCTCCTTCGACATTGTCGGGCTTCTGAAGATTTGTCCGCCGCCCGGCCAAAGATAATTTATGTTCATCCCCGGCTCTTTGCATACACAATATCCAACGCGATCCCATTCTGCCCTGCCCCCTTTATGCCATATACCTATACTTATACCTTTAACTCTTTGGTAATCGCTGGCGCACTTATTTTACTTTTACTTTCCCGCACACTTCATTTGAGGCTTCCTCAGTTGCTCGTTGGGACTCGATGACTTGAATTGGCCAGGAGATGTCTTCAAAATGCTCCGGCTTCTGTTTCTTCTCCACTCCGGCTACTGGTGCTCTTTTCCTGCATGTCTTTTGTGGCGAAACAGAAGCCGCCGTTTCACAGTGTCATTGTGATCATTTGTATTTAATATCCTATTGCTACAAAACTAAGTCTTCTACATTACTACACCGGTCACTTTGTTAGAGATTGTTAAATTGGTTAAGTTTAGCCTACATAATTAATTAGTTAAGGCTATTAAAATTCTGCAAAAAAATTATAGGAATTCGATGTTCTTGGCTTTTACAGTGATTCAAAAATGGAATAGTAAAAGTAAATATCTGACTATTGAATTCAAAAAGTTATACTTAATATTTAAAGTAAATGTTAAATCAAAATATAAATATATTTATAATAATATACAATGTATGTTAAATTTCATAATTTAACACTGAAATATTTTATTTAACCAGGAAAATATAAGATTTAAGTTCAATACCATTTCGCACGATTACTTGTCGGTAGAAATGTTGAAAAATGAAATGAAAAATGTTTAAATAAACTTAAACTTTATTAAGTAAAAATGTTTTTATAACCACTGTTCTTTTGAGCGGCGACTACTGTGGCTGTCTTTGTCTTCTTCCTGATGCACCACCCCTCCCCGCTTTGCCCACTTAAGCTTCCTCTTCTTTCTTGAGGAACCCCTGGCCATCCGGAAAGATAGCTCCCTTTCGTTTTTTGTTCTTTTTTTGAAATATAACTCCTTTGTCCTGTCAGTCAAGTCGCTTTCGTTTTCGGTTAATCCCCTTTAAGTCTCCGCCCCGTTTTTTCCCCCTTTTTGTCCTGCTTTGCATACATAAATTCATCGGTGTGCCAAGTGCAACGTTCCAATGTCCCGATCCCCAACACAAATCCGAATCCCAATCCTCAGACCATTGGCATTGCCACGGCCAGTTGTTGCAAGTTGCTAGTTGCTAGTTGCTGCTGCTGTGCATCTGTCGCTGTTAGGGTTAATGTCAATTGCACTGCCAGTGCCATAAATTCGTGGCCCGCGAGAAGCAAATGAAACTGGAAGAGAAGGCTTATACTGCTGGCCCTTGGTGATTCTGATTCTTGGACAAAATCTGATCCCCGCCTTCCATTTAATTAGCCACATCGTGGCGGATATTGCTCCTCGGCTTTGGCTTACTTTCTAAGCCGCCGAAAAGTGTTGACCAAATAATCATTACTGACAATCACGAAAAATCCACCAGCAACTAGCAACACACAACCTGCAACTAGCAGCAACCACTCGAAACAGCAACAACATTTCAATATCGTGAGCAACACAAACGAAAAAAAAAACAGTTTATACAAATCCAACTGGAAAAGTAACAAAATGCCAATTAATTGCCAAATAGAATGTTTATCTATAAAATCAAGACAGCAACAACGTCTGCGTGAAGGAGTTGCAGCAACAACAACAACAATAAAACTGTTAACTATTAGTAAAAGTTAAGCATTTGTGACCGTAACACATTTGCCAATTGCATTTGTTGCTACGGGGCCGCTGCTGCTGTAGATTATTTGAGGCGGACAAAACTAACTGAGTAATCTACACATAGGAAACGTTTGGAAGAAGTCACCTACTAGCAATATTCTCATTAAAATAAAAAGCTTAAATGTAATGTAAAGTCCTTGTGTAGAATATTCCAGTTCTATTGTAAAAGGGTTTAAAAACTTAGGTCTATTTTCTTTTCTTGTGTTAAACGAAAATTTTCCACAGTGCAGAAAGCCAAACAAAGCATTTCACTGGTTTTGGGCAAAATGTAGCTGGTGTTCGATAGTTGCAAGTTGCTGGTTGCAAGTTGCAACCTGGGTCAGGCAGACGCCTGCAATGGTGACGATCTAAACGAGCAGCGTGCATCGGCAGGCGGCATCTTAGATGCTCTCACACAGATACTCGCACACACACAAACACACACACATTCGCAGGACAGGGCACACAAGTGCAAATTAGAGACTCTTATACATATGCAAAACTTGGGGCAGAGGAAAGTCGTGTTGCCAATGTCGTTGCTGCCTACACTGGGACAAATTCAAATAAAATCTCTTGCTCTGCTGAAACCAAAAATACTTTAAACAGCTATGTAAAAATAAAATGTAATTCTAACATGTCATTATTTCAGTACAGCTCCTGTCTCTTTATAATTTTAAGCTCTTGTATTGGGACACACCTTGGTTCAACTTTACAGTCATGTAAAATTGAATATTTTTGATACGAGTGTATCGCCGGTGGTGCTGCCATTGTAGTTTTTGTGGCTTGCGGCTTAAAGAAATGGCTTCGTCTTGCGGCCAAAAAAGAGATGGTCAGAATGAGACAGAGGCGTGACTTAACTGCAACTTAGATTTTAAATGCCATTTTAATAGCATCATTTGCACGCGGCTAGCTTGTTAACCCCTTCGGCAGATCTTGAATAGACGGACTTATCAAGTGGGTGATGCCAACTCCAACTCAAATTCAAACTCGTGATCAGAACCCGCTCTGCTAATGTATCGGAACCTTCTCTAAGCAGGCAAGAGTATTTATATATAATTTAAAAATGTAATATATAATTTTAATACCACTACATTTATTAGTACTACTGCTTTATTGTGTCTCTTCAGCAGCTTGGCAAATAAAAAAGTTTCTTTCATTACACAAATGTTTATAATAGTGGCCGGCATATAGATAAACACAGTGTACGCTGGGATCGTTATTGGGTTCCCCTTCATGCCAATTCAGAAATGAAGCTTTCTCTCCGGAGACAAAAGAAATGTACTCGTCCTTTGTCGCCAGATCACTGATGTCCAGCCAATACCACTTAGCATCGACCTTCATACGGATTTGGGACAGTTCATTCTCGTCCTTGGGGGTAGCCAGGTGACCGCCCATCTCACGACATGTGCTCGCCGCACTAAACCAATCCTTTTTGACATGTCTTTCGATATAGAAGTTCCTTGAACCCAATTTCTCGAATTGCGAGTAGAACTGATCATTTGTCGAGACTTTCTTCTTGTTCTTCAGAGAACACCGAAGGGCATTAGTTACTTCCTGCAAGCTGGCTTCCATCTCCCTTTGATCCAATTTATCCATCAGCGTCTTTAATTGACTGTCCATTCTTGGCTCTATCAAATTTATTTGTTCATTTGTGTTTGCCAATAGACCTTCAATTCGGTTTAATATTTTCTCTGTTTGGTTGGGGTTAACAGAGCCTTGCGGCTCCTTATTTTTCGAAAGATGGCTGAGGAGTGGAGGCAGATCCACAAGACACACATCTCCGAGTTGTTTTACTGGATCGTACCATGGGAATTTGGGGCAACTGGTTCTGGGGATTGCTGCTCCAATTACGAATTTTTCGTAAGCTCGATGTGTTTCCAAAGTAAAGAACACGTATAACAAATATGATGCGCACTTTAACATAGTTATTGCCGAACTGATTCAAAATTTTTTTTATATATCTGCGGGATCTAGTATGAAATCAATTAAGAGTTTATAAGCCATAACGATTTTCGATTTAAGCGCCTTAGCGTGAAATAGAAAATTAACACTATGATTGATAGGGTTTCTTTTACGATTTGAGTTTTTTAGACTAGACTTTCTGTACTTGCCGAGGTAAGGTTCTGTTTTTTAAATTATTTTATCTTCATATTGTCTTTATAACAAAGAATAGAAGTCAAACCTTGCAACTTCGTATGTCAGTTCTTGCTTGACAAGGCAATTCTTGTCCGATGATTATATTTCCGGCCAAGAACACAAAAGAAAAGAAATACAGAGATGATACCCCTGACCAATTCACCTAAAATCGATCAAAAATCGTAGAAAAGGCGGTGGACAAACGGTACGATCATCGTACGGTACTGGAGCATGTGCTATCGTTATGAGAACCAACTGCCTCCCGCTACCGCACCCCCACCCTTTTTCCTTCTTTTCTGTGCAGCTGCAGCAGCAGCAGCAACAACAACATTAGAATTGCTAAAAGCCACTCAAATCACCAGCGTACAACAAGCAGAAATGTTAAAACGATCACGTTTTTCTGCAGCAACAACAACAACAACTGGAGTCTGGAAATCCTTGCGCTTGCGCTGGAGAAAAGCAAGGAAAAATCTCAGCTGCCGTTGACATTCCATGATTCCCCCCGTTTTTTTTTTTTTTTTTTTTTGCCAAGAAGCTTCGCGCATGCTAATTTCTTTGGCTGGGTAGCCCAACGGTTTTCCAACTTTATAGACGGGGCCCTCGATGGCTAACTGTAAAAGGCAACGCAAGGCAAGTGAGCGATGAAGCATGAAAGTCCAAGCAGAATGTGTGTGGTTTTGATACCCTGTAGGCCAGATAGAAAGTATTTGTAAGGGGGGTCGAAAGTTTTATAAAAACCCAATAAAATTCACTGAGCTTAACTGCATTACAAATTATAAAGTCTTTTAAAATCAATAATTTTGTTTAAATTAACTAAAAAGAAAATTCAACAATCTAATAAAAAAGGTCTACCGTTTCAATGGCAAATAAACTATTTTAAACTTTCAACATGTTTTGTTATTATTTTATTTTAGAACAATTTTATAATTTAAATTTACTTTAAAATAAACTAAATAATTAGAATTGCAGGGTACACATGTTAATTTCATCGTTCATTTTTTTTTTCCTAAAGGTGATATTTTTACTCCCCCTAGCATTCTATATAGACTCTACCCATTGTCACTCGATTCAAATGATTTTTTGTTTGGTTTTATTTGCTACTATTTTTCTCTGTGTTTCCCTGAATGTCTCCAGATTTTAGAAAACAGAGGAAGCAGAGGAAGGGGATGTGAGGGGATATCTCGCAGGGTTCCAAAATGCAAATGAATGCCGATAATTCAAACGATAAGTTTGTCTTTTGTCTTGTTTGCAGCTACCGTTTGTTGTTTTTCCTTGGGTTTTTCTTGACTTTTTTGTTACCTCTGTTTTACTTGGTGTTGTTGCTGCAGCTACCGCCTAGAGCCAACAACCATTAAGAAATCCGAAGGGAAAGACTGTGGGGCGGACAAACAGAGCCAGGACCATGATCACGATTTTCAAGTTTCGACATTTGATTGAGTTTTTTGAACTAACGAATTTTTTTTTCGATACTTCTTTTTTTTCCTTGCTTTATTCTTTTTTTTTTTTAGTTGTGTTTTTACTGTTTGTCTTATTCAAAGAGGTTTGATCTTGGTGTGTGTGTGAGTATTGTCGTGATTTTGTGGGCGTCTCGTAGCTCGTATCCATATCTTGGATATTGCTCCTAAAGAGCGTTAATTTGACACACAAGTAACCCAGCTTAGTTATCATAGATGAACAAATGTGTTTTGGCCATGGATGGTAAAAATGGGCTCACTATTTTCTTTGAAAATAAACATTGTATTTTTTATCGTTATCCATTAATCTTGTACTTATTCTTATTATATAAATACCATCAATCTTGACTCAAGCTCTTGTTAATTAATAATAATTTCTACAACAAATTCAATCAATTTACAAATTAAATCGTAGATAAGTTTATCAGTCGAGCAAACTTGCAGCCAAAAATTAAATGAACTTAGATTCAAAGTCGATCTGAGAATCCGGGCCCAAGGACCAGTACCGAAAGGAAACGAAACACAAATGTTAACTCCACATGTTGATAAAAATATGACAAGTTGGCTGTCATTAGTCACACAATTAACATATACAAATACCGTCGATGGGAAGGGACCGAGTGGGGATCCTCCGACCCGGTCCTCCAGCGATGGTCACGTAGAAGAGAGGAGACACGCTGACTTCAGCAAATTGTCAATTACTCATGCGATGAACGAAAGAAGCCTGGTAAAAATTTCAGGGGTTTTGAGGGGCTTTGAAGGGGTTTCAGAGGGTTTCAGGCGGGGCTTAGGCAGGGAAACAGGGAATCGGGGAGAAGAAGGACCAGCCCTGTCCAGTTGCCGAACCTGAATCGCAGGCTTTATTTACAGCAGCAGCTGGACCGCCTGTCGTCGACGACTGCCTTTTAAAGCATCATTAGCAGCGATAATTAGCGCCGTGCAAACGACAGCCAGGAGATTACCTCGAAAAAGAGACGAACACTTGGAAAAAAACCAAAATTATTGTTCTATAAATCTTTTCTTTGTACTATGTAGGTACTTCATAAATTTATAAATATTTAACAGTTGGGTAAAGTCAATTGAAATTAATAAAGTATAATCTTTGGTCTAGATTGTAAACTAATTTCATTTAAAATCCTATCGATAAATGTATTTTATTATGTGTTGCGAATTGATCACCAATTTACTCATATTTTTAAAGTACATTTTAAATTATTTATTTTCCGTGCACAAAAAGTAAAGACAGAGTTACCTCTTCAAGCTCCCGACAACATCTATTTTGGCTAATAAATTCAAAATGTTAAACGTTTTTTCGTCGATTTCCGTTTTGCGCCGCGTTGGCAAATTCGAAACTCGTGAGAGATTTTCTTAGTACTTGTAGCAGGTTGCTGAAAATGGTGGGCGGAAGGGGGTTTAAGGGGGGGTTGGAAATGCCGTGCTTCAATTTTCATTCAACTTCTGCCCCATGCGTAACTTAAACGAATGGTCAGCTATTTGAGAGAGAGAGGAAAAAACACGGAGTTGCTAGCTGATGTGATGTAGCAGTTGCAGTGGCAATGTCTTGCTGCGGTGCAGTGCTGCTGCTGCAACTGATTGACATGTTAATTAGTCGCTTACATGACAGCAGCTTGCTGGCAAGGCATTGCCCAAAATGCTAATTTACACATTGGGTAACCGCTGAGACGTGAAAAGCGCGGAAAATGGAAAATGAACCCGGCTTCATCGTCGAGTTGAGCAATTTATAATTGAGCAATTTGCCAGCGACTGATTTATTTGCAGATCCCCAAACGGGATTAAAACTGTATGTGTATCCCGTGCAATGCGAAGCGCTGAGAAAATAAGATCAAATGGACCATGTGGTGAATTTATTTCGTGTCATGACAAAGCAACATGTTTTTACATTTCGTATTGAGGTGTTGCACTAAAAATGTACATTTCACACCGAAAAGTTAGAAAATCTTATTAAACTTAACAATACAAAAAATTATATTTTCGCTTAAAATATTTGGGTAGAGAATTTTAACTTGGCCAACACTCATGACTCGTTACTAACTGTATAACCGAAGTTGGAAATTGCCCATTTTACGGTTGAAAAGCTTGAAAAATAAGATCAAAAATCTGAACAGTAAAAAGAAAACAGAAACAGTTTCTTAATTGCATTCGCTTTCTTATGTTTTTAGTATCTTAATATGTTTAAGTGCGCAACCTACTTTTTGTACACATTTTTGGCTTACGACCTTTACGGAGTCCAGGCAGCTGATCAGTGTACCCAAAATCCACTAAAACGTCGCGGAGAAGTCTGCCTTGTGGAACTATCGCCAGTGCTTGAGCACATTGCAAACAACAAGCAGAGTGTATCGGCCGAAACCCAGAAATTACTAGTCAGGATTGAAGGTCGCGAAGAAGACACAATCGGAAAACTGAAGGCGGTTCAAATAACGATAGAAAGCAAATTGTTGGCAGTGGAGGCCAAGATGTCAGTTTCGGGCGATTTGAAGAGCCTGTCATCGTCCGTGCAGGACACGCAAAAAGCTCTACTCGTTTCGCTAGAAAGCAACCGCGTGAAGAAAAATGGTCAAGTCCCCAATGGTTTTCAGAAGATTGGCTCGAGGTACTTTTACATCGAGCAGAATAAGGGACTCGATTGGTTTGGTGCGGCCAGCAAATGCCATCAGATGGGCGCTCACCTGGCGACAATCCAAAGTCAGGCGGAACTGGATGCCATTAGGAAGAAAACCTCCTTCTCAAATGACTTTTGGTTGGACATCACCGACCTGGCCAAATGGGGCGAATATATTTCCATAGCCAGGGGGGAAAGACCACCTTTTTTCAAATGGGACAAAAATAGGCCCGAGGCTAAACTGGACCAACGTTGCATTACTTTATTTAAAGGGAAAATGAGGGATGAAATGTGCAGCAAGATTTTATTTTTCATTTGCCAACTAACGCAATAAGAATCAATAATAATATAATAAATATTATAACATTAAAAGCTTTCATACGTACCGATATAATAAAATTATCCGTTAA